GCACCCTGCCCACAGCTGGGGCAGGGGCCGATGGGATGGGCTCTCTCGCTCCTCAGGGATGGATGTGCTGAACGAGGCCATTGAGAAGCTGACGAGGGGCCCTGGGCGGGAGCGCTGGACACCGTCCCTCATCCGCGTGTCTGACACGGCCATGAGGGTGCACCCTGTGCAGGTGGGGAGGGGGATGGTGGGCTCCAGCAGAAGCAGGAACACCGCTGCCAGTGGGGTGGGACGTGCAGCCCCCATGGGGGGCCCAGCCTCCCGGCAGAGGGGACCTGGCGGGGGTGGCAGGGGGCCCTCGGGGGGGGGGAAAGGGCCCACGGGATCCCCGCAGCAGGACGAGGAGGCGGCGCACATCTGGGAGTGCCAGGTGCGGTACGTAACCTTCCTGGGGGTGGGCCGGGATGCCCACACCTTTGCACTCATCGTCGACACGGGGCGGCGCTTCCAGTGCTCAGCCTTCTGGTGTGAGCCCGACGCCGGCACCATCTCGGAGGCAGTACAGGCAGCCTGCATGGTGAGTGGGAGTGGGGCGTACCCCAACCCCCTCAGCTTCCCAGCCCTCCGGGAACACCCAGAGGAGGAGGCAAGGGCTGGTGACAAGGGAGGGCAAAGCTGGGGGCCTGGGCAGGATGCCCAGCCCTGGGGAGGGCAGCAGGAGGGAGCTGACCCCGCGGTGCCATGTCCAACGCAGAGCCATGCTGCGTTCAGTTGTGTCCAACCCCACAGCAATGCCGTGTTGTGACCCACCCCATGGCCACCCCATGTTGTGTGTGACGCCGTGACCACGCTGTGTTGTGTCCCATCCTATGGTGATGCTGTGTTGTGTGTGAGCCCGTGGCCACACCATGCTGTGTCTGACCCCACGGCGCTATCGTGTTGTTGTGTCTCACCCCACAGCCACGCCATGTTCTGTCCAGCCCCACAGTGACGCTGTGTCGCGTCCCACCTCATGGCCCCCCTCTGTCCCTCATGTCCCCGCAGGTGCAGTACCAGAAGTGCCTGGTGGCCGCTGCACCAGGGGCGAAGGGTGCGACAGGCCGGGGCCGGGGGGACACGGCCAGCGGGGCGGCGGGGGCCGGTGCCCTCAAGCGGGGCCTCTTCTC